GTGTGTGTGTGTGTGTGTGTGTGTGTGTGGTGAGGTGGGGAAGGGAGGATGTGAAACAGTGCCCCATGAATTGATTTAATTTGCTCTTTCTGCCGAAGTTTCTAGGCCTGTCTTTTCCTGTCCTCAACACACTGTGCCAGCTTTCCCTCCCCTCTTGTTTCTTTCCTTCACTTCCCACCACCACATCCAGTCCCGCCCACCTTAACTAACCTTAATACACATTATATAGAATTCCACAAATTCTTCCATGTTAATGGAACTTAAGTTTTAGTGTGCTGTTATTACATTATAGCAGAATGGAAGAAATAATTTTTTTCCTTAAAGAAAAGGAAGGGGTGGCAATTGAAATGCCACCTTCTTCCTCTCAACTTTTAAAATGCCATATATATGGGGTTTTCTTTTTTCTTTTTTTGGGGGGTAATTAAGTTTATTTTTTAATTTTTGTTTTAATGGAGGGACTAGGGATTGAACCCAGGACCTCATGCATATTAAACATGAGCTCTACCACTGAGCTATGCCCTCCCCCCATATATAAGGTTTTGTTGTCAAATTTTCAATCATCCTGTAGGATCCCACTTTTTTCATTTTACATTCAATCAAGGGCATTAGTAGTTTGAGATTAACAGACACAGTACTATATATGAAACAGATAAAGGACAAGGACCTATTGTATAACACAGGGAAGTATATTCAAAATCTTATAATAACCTATAATGGAAAAGAATCTGAAAGAGTGTATATATGTATATGTGTAACTGAATCACTTTGTTGTGCACCTGAAATTAAAAATTAATACATTGTAAATCAACTAGACTTCAATAAAAAAATTAAAAAAAAGAATATTTCCCCAGAGTATTAAATATTCTTAAAAAGTGCATTTAACTATTTGTAAGTTGATAACATTTTAGTGTTTGTTTCTTTTTAATTTTAGGATATACAACTTAATTATAACCATTGTTAGATTGCAGGAACTAGAATTACAGGATTTAAAGGGCATATTTTAAAAGCTTCCAGTCATGTAGGTGGGCCGAGCTTACTGCCTACCCAGCTGGCTCAGCAATATCTTGGAAAAATACATCTTTGCCCATTCAATAGGTGAAAACGATGTCTTGATATTTCAATGTGCATTGCATTGAATTGAAGACTCAGAGATAACAGCACTAAGAAAAGGAAAGAAGTTTACTTGCAAGAAATGTGAGACACCCAGAAGGACCTGCTATTCAGATCAAAACCACAGCAGGTTATTAGAGCCAAACACGGCAAAATTACTAAGGTTCCTGAATTTACACTTGGTATGTTCATGACCAAAAACCTGCAATTTTCTTACAGAGCTATAATTTCTACGAAGTTGTGGCCAGACTTCAGACAGCAGCATTGCAAAAGTCAGGGATAACGTTGTTTGCATTAAGTAGTCAGCACTTTACAGGCGATGCCCGGCATTCATTTATTTGGGGGGCTGGAATTAGGGCTGAAAGTGTTTATTCTCCCCTAATGGTGGGACTTGGAGGCACAATGTTGGTTTTGCTTCCACAAGACTTTGCATGTGTGGAAAGGATCGTGTGTTTCTTCTTTTGTAACTATATGTTTGTGTCTTGTGCCCTGTTTCATTTTATTGGAGTTTATCTTTTGTTTACTGGATTACTTCTGTTTACTTGCTATATATTAAAAATCCATTGTTATATATTGCAAAAAGAAATTGTCCTCTGTCACCTGACTTTTGATTTATTATATTTTTATCATAGCTAACACTTGTATTTTTATGTAGTCAAATCCATTGATTATTTCCTTTATAATATATTTTGGTACCATGCTTAGAAAGTCTTTCCCAGTTCTCTCATTATTGCTTACAGGCAGCCCACGGAATGGAAGAAAACATTTACAAATCACTTATCTAGATAAGGAGCCAATATACAGAGTTTACAAAGAACTCCTATAACTCAACAATGAAAAACCAAACAACCTGGTTAAAAAGTGGGAAAAGGACTTGAAGAGATATTTCTCCAAAGCAGATATACAAATGGCCGATGAGCCATGAAAAGATGCTCAACATCACTAGTTATTACAGAGATGCGAATCGAAACCATGGTGGATACCACTTTCCATCCATTCGGATCGCTATTGAAAAAAAAAAACAGAAAATAACAAGTGTTAGTGAGAATGTGCAGAAATTGGACCCCTTGTGCTCTGCTGGTGGGAATGTTAAATGGTGAAACTGCTTTGGAAAATAATACAGGGTTTCCTCAAAAAACTAAAAATAGAATTACCCTGTGATCCAGCCATTCCACTTCTGGGTATATGCCCGAATGAACTGAAAGCAGGTATCTGTACACCCCAAAGGTGGAAGCAACCTTATCGATGGATGAATGGATAAACAAAATGCAGTCTGTACATGCAAGAAATATTATTCAACCTTAAAAAGGAAGAAAATTCTGCCATTTGCAACAGCATAGATAAACCCTGAAGACACTATGCTACGTGAAATAAGCCAGAAACGAAAGGACAAACACTGTACAATTCCACTTACACAGAGTACATTTAAGGTCCCTAGAGGAGTCACATTCAGGGATAGAAAGCAGAATGGTGGTTGCCAGGGACTGAGAGGAGAAGGAAATGGGAAGCTGTTTAATGGATACAGGGTTTCAGGTTTGCGAGGTGAAAACATTCTCGAGATGGGTGGTGGTGATGGTTGCACAACAGTGCGAATGTGCTTAATGCCACTGAGCCGTATACTAAAAAATGGCTAAAATGGTTTTATGTTACATGTATTTTACAACAACTTTAAAAAACATATTGCTTATATTTTCTTTTCTTTCTTTTTTCTTTTTCGAAATTTTTTATTGAAGTGTAGTTGATGTACAGTGTTAGTTTCAGGTGTACAGCAAAATGATTCAGTTACACATAAATATATTTTTTTCTTTTCGGATTATTTTCCATTATATGTTATTACAAAAAATGGAATATAGTTCCTTGTGCTGTATTTTCTTTTCATACTTTGTAATTGTGCCACAGTTTTTTCAGGAACCATTCTGATGGTGATTCCCATCCACTGTGCAAGCGTCACCCGGTGGTGGTGGGAGGGCGGTGGTTGGGGGCCTGGTGACAACTAAACCAAAGGTGAGGTAGGAACGGGGGACAGACCCTGGGAGAGAGCTGGGTGTGTTAGGCTCTTTGCTGCCAAGGTATACAGGTTTTCTTAGGATGACCACTGGTTCCAGTTTTGTTGTGTAACAGACTATCCTGAACTTTATGGATTAACCTTTTTATTCCATCACACAGTCTGTGGATTAGCCCTGTGGGCAGGGTTCGGGGCGAGCAATTCTTCTCCTCCTGGTGTTGACTGAGGTCACTCAGTGTTACTCAGCAGCGGGGATGGGTTTGTCTGGCGTATCCAACATGGCACCTTGGTGGGGCTGCCTGGAGGGCTGGGCTCAGCTGGGACTGTCAGTTGAAGAGCCTACACATGACCTATTCAAATAGTGCTTTTTTTTCTTGCCTGTTTTAGGAAGTGAGGAGGTTATTTATTTACTTGTTTTAATGGAGGTACTGGGGATTGAACCCAGGACCTCATGCATGCTAAGCACACGTTCTACCACTGAGCTGTACCCTCCCCCCGAGTTCTTACGTGGCGGCTCAGGGCTCCCTGAGAGAAGGTCTCGAGAGAACCACATGGAAACTGAATGTCTTTTGACCTAGTGTTGGATGTCACATCTTGCTACTTCTGCATTTTGTTGGCTACAACCTAAGGTCACCCCTAGACTCAAGGAGAGAGAAATTATAAACCACCTTCCATTGGGGAAGTAGTGGGGTCACATTGAGGGGAGCATTCGGGCTGGAGATACTGTTGTAGCCATCCTTAGAAAATCCAATATAGCCCATTGCTAAGAGAAAGGGGATTTATTGTAAAACACAAAAGACTAGAAGTAGGAAAACCCCAGAATGGAGGCGGAACAGGACCAGCCGTAGTCGGTCTGACCTGCTGCATCATCTGCTTGCATCGCTCCCTGCTCAGTTTTCCTTAGTCTTCCTCAATTTCCTTTGACCTGTGCTCTCCTTCCAAGCCTCCCAACAGCCCCTCGCCCGTGACCTACCACGGCCTCTCCTGCCTTTCTCAGTCTTCCCCCAGAGTGTCTTAGTTCAGGTTCCTGAGGCTCGGATTGGCTCAGCTCGGATTTCTCCGTAGCCCGGGGCTTAGTCGTGGGAGGGGCGGGTACAGGCTGGAAATACAGTGAAAGAGAAGCTGGTGTCAGATCACACTGCCTCCGGTTTTCACACCCGGCTGCACATCTGAATCACCTGGGCAGCTTTAAAAAAAAAAATCCTTTTGGCCTGGATTCTGATTTAATTGGTTTAGGGTAAGAGACTGAGCAGGGGTATTTTTTAGGTGCATGCATCTCCTACAGTCAGGTAACGCTGTGCTACCCTGGGAAGGACCAAGAGGTATGGACAGCAAGCTTGCCTGGGGAGTATCATTTCTCAGACCAGGAAAGAAAAACAGGCTTTTCTTGTTTTTGTCTTTGATCGTGTATTGTTGCTCGTTTGTTTTTTTCACAAATGAAATCTCAAAGAATTTGTGAACTGGAAGGGACCTTAGAGACATTTACAGATATGGAATAGGACAACCAGTTCATCTGGGTTTGTCTGGAACTGTCCCAGCTTTAGCACCAAAAGACCCACCAAGTCCCAGGGAAATCCCTCAGTGCCAGGTAAACCAAGAAGGCTGGTCACCCTACATGGAAACCCATTAGCAATCCCTCCCCATTCTCCCTGGGTCCCAGCTGCTGCCAACCTCTTGTATCTCCTCTGTCTCTATGGATTCGCCTATCCTGGACATTTCATATAAATGGAATCCTGTAGTATGTGGCCTTTTGTATCTGACTTATTTAATTTAGCATAGTTGTTTTTCAGGTTCATTCATGTTGTAGCATGTCTCAGTACGTCATTTCTTTTTATGGCTGAATAATATTCCGTTGTATGGATAGACCATGTCATCAGTTGATGGACATTTGGGTTGTTGCCACTTTTTGGTTATTATTAATAATGCTGCTATGAACATTTATGTGCAGGTTTTTGTGTGGATATATGTTTTTAACTTTCTTCTATATACACCTAAGAGAGGAATTGCTGGGTCACATGGTAATGTTAACATTTTGAGGAACCGCCATTGCTGTTTTCCACAGCAGCTGCACCATTTTATGTTCCCACCAATAGTGCACAAAATTTCTGCCCTCCACATCCTTGCCAACACCTGTTATCATATTTTTTTTTATTATAGCCATCCTATTGGGTGTGAAGTGGTATCTCATTGAGGTTTTGATTTGAATTTCCTTGATGACTAATGATGTTGAGCATCTTTTCATTTGTATATCTTCCTAGAGAAACTGAATTTAAACATGTAGGAAGTGCCTCTCCTGTACTGGCTCCAAGTAAGGTCCTAGGAGATAAAGATGAAATGGCGAGGTCCTGGCCTTCAAGGAGCACTCAGTCTGAGACAGAGGCAAGGAGTCAAAGAGGTGGACTTAAGAG